AAGAATAAAAAGGATAAGAAAAAAAGGGCATATACAACACCTCTATATTATATTATTCAGATGACTCAGTCCTTAAAGTCCTATTTTATGCAAAGTTCTTGGTTTCACATATGTTGGGGATGTGAGGGCCGGAGGATAGAGAGGTAGAAAAGAAAAAACAAACAAACAACTCGAAGGAAGAAACTAGGGTTGTAGCTAGCTTTAGAGATCTGCATCTTTCCTGCTTCTCTTCTCATACCGTAGGTGAGGTAGACTGTTGTAACCTGGTGTCTCTGCCCTCTGGATGGTGGAGGTAACCAGGGTGGGAAGACTGGTCCTGGCACAGGGCAACTGGATGTGGGGATTGGCACCCTCTAGTCCCTGCAGAAAGACTGCACCTCACGGGTCTCTTTCTGGGACTGCTTGTATGACTTGAGTGCCTGGTACTATCTCCCTCTCTTGCCTGGAGATTTCCCAGTTTCTGGTCTCTTGTTAGGCTCCAGACTTTAGCCCTGTATCCCTCTCCCCTAGCAGTTCTCAACTGAGGAAACTCTGACCCTGGGGACTCCTGTGGGCGGCTCCCTGATCGCACTGCACACCTGTGTTAGGCAGCTACTGTGTTGGGTTACTGCCGCTGGAGAAGGGGGAAGGTTGGAAACCTGGTACCTGGCCATTTGATATCTGATCTGGGAACTGCTCCCAGCTAATTTGGCGAGAATGTTGAGTCAAGATGGCAGTGGTGTGCTTTCAGTGACGGATGTCTGGTGACGTGGGGGGAGCCTGGGGAGCCGGGCGATGGTGTTGAGCTGAGGGTAGGTAGCAGCTGAGTGACTTGTGTGGGAGCTGTGTGAAGTCTTGGCCATCTGCAGATGTGTTGATAGATGATTCTGCTAAGGCTCTCGTCAAGTCTTGAGTGGGCTGGAACTTCAGGCTTTGGGTCCTGCTCCAAGACCAGGTGTCCTATTCTAACGCTGAGACCTGGAGACCCTTGTGGGGTCACAATGCTGGGGATTTCTGTTGAGAGCAGCTGAATAGGGGTCCTCTAACACTCTCAGAGATGGAGTATTCCGACTAGGTGAGATCTGCCGGCACATCAGTGCAGGGCACGGGGCGGCTCACTCCCTTCCCACCACCATGTTTTTCTGGAGAAAAAACATGCCAATTTCATCATCACACAGAGAACTATTTTAGTGATTAAGTTATTAAATATAATTATTTGACATATTATTTTAGGTGGTAAATTTATTATAGACTGCAATTTTCAGATTTGGTAAAAATATTGATTTTTTTCGTTTATTCATGCATTTATTCATCAAATATCATAGCACTACTCTAAGAGTAGTGAAAACAAAAATTATCTTCTGATCTGTCTTTCTAGCAGACAGAAAGTATATCTATAACATCTCGTGAAGCTCAAGTATTTCTGCATCGAAAGAATATTGAATGTACTCTTTGCAAAATATTACTTTTTAAAGTTGTATTTGCATATTGAGCCTTACTGTTTTTTTTTAAATATATTGTTTTAGTTGAAGATGGACACAATACCTTTATTTTATTAATTTATGTGCTGAGGATTGAACCCAATACCTCACACGTGCTAGGCAAGTGCTTAACCACTCAGCCCCAGCCCCAGCTTACTGTTTTTTAATAACATTATTATTACAGAATATACTCTAAGCCTATATCAGAACACTGTCTGAAATGAATGTTAGATTATGAATGAGGCAAATACGTGTTTAATAGTTTATAATCTAGATAAATTAAAGAGTCCAGTTTATAAAGCCTTAACACCTTTTTCCTTACATGATGCTTGAAAACATAAGGTTTGATTTCATTTGCATGCAGAAAGAAGTAATTTACCAGTCTAGTCATAGAATCATTATTCCATCAGGAAGGATTTCCACGAAGTTCCAGATTTGTTTCCCTTTATCAAAAGTGTAGTATTCGTGGAAAACTGTAAGGCAGCTCAGTAAAAATAAAGTAGTAGAACCTTTTAAGGATTGAGTTTTGCTTGGGTCATTTAATTAATTTATTTATTTAGAGGATTTAAGAAAGTGAGGGCTCTTCGGATTTGAATGTTGTCAGGAAGCAGGGGCAATTTGATGATAAGAATGAAATTGAGCTGAAATTTTCAATGGAAAAGAAGTACTCATGTTAGTGGAGAAAGGGCTATATCTAGTCATTTTTGTGGTTACATAATGCTTTTGTCTCTTCAGAAATGACAGTGGTTTTATGTTGATTTGGGTTTTTCTATTTCATGACTGTATGTGATATTGCTTTTAAAGAAATTGTAATGTGTTCATATTACTTATGGGGACTACAATAATTTAGGTGTTAATTGCCATTTAGGCTACCCCAGTGTCAGGGCTGATTGTCTTGTTTTTGTCTTGTTTGCTTTGTTTGGGTCTTTCCCCCATAGAAGTAAAACATATTATTAAAGTATGACACCACAAAAGGGTATGGTTTGTTCTGGTATGACTAGAAGGAGGGGTACATGTGGGCAAGGTTAATATCCTCAATTTGTATCATAACAGTAGTTTAATGATTGATTAGTAGAATATAAGACGGACAAGGACAGTAGTTTAAGAATAGTTCATTGGTCATTGTTTTAGAAGAATAACAGATGTCTGAACTAAGGCAACAATCATGAAGATAAATATCAGGGAATATGTTTTGGAAATAATTTGATGTTCAAATCAGAAAGACTATTTATCAGTAAGATATGACTTCATTCACTGATTGAAGAAGGAGTGAAGGAGAGAGGAAAAGTTAAGACTGACTGCTTACTCATATTTGACTCATGTGATTGAGCAGATAGTTGGTACTCTTTAGTAAAATAGGGAATTCAGGAAGAAGAGAAGATTTGGGAAAAATAATGAGTTCACTTTTGAATATAATATGTATAGAATACTTAAGATTCAGAAACTGGTTGAATTTGCACATAGGTCCTTGATTTGGAAGTATTTGCTGACAAATTATTAAATAGTAAAGGATGCAGCTAATTCCCTTACTGGTAAAAGGTAATAATACTCCACATTTGACAGTCAAAGATTAGTGGTCATGTAAGAGGAACTGTCTAGAAGATCTAGTGTCCTGTACCTTAGATTTCCTTTTCTTCAGAGGGATCTCTTAGCAATCACTACTGAAATGCTCTTAATGACTGACTTCTGGGACCTGGTGTCATGGGTCACTGCTCTCCATTTTCTTTTGCAATTTGAACTGAATTCTTTTCTCAATTTCCTACAACATGGCTAAGAAACAATTATGTTTAAACAAGACTTTACTAACGGTTCAAGAAAGCAATAAGAAAAATTGTTACTGAAAGTAATATGCACTTAACTCATCCGACTATGAAATGTGCCTGGTGTTTGTATGCTGTACTGTATACCCTTTGTAATCCCCATGGGGAGATCTGTCTGAATAGCCTCCCAGCCTGCATAATACCAATTTCCTTCCATCACAAAACACACCCTTGAACAAGGCTAGATACCTTAAAGTTTAGGCCCCAAAATGCAGGGGCAGAAAAGCCATTCCTTTACTCCCTGATATCGCCGTCTTCCCAGTCCTGTATCCTCTTCCTAGGAATCCTTCCTCTTTGGGGAATAACATCAGTACTTTCAGAGTATACTTAACTCTACCCATAGAAAATAATAGAAGATTTAGGGTATAGTAGATATAATGCCTGCTTAGTTTTAGATTATTCCTTAAAATTACTTATTGCTCAAAGTCCCTGGTAAAAAATATGGATCTCTCTAGTCTTCAAAGTTGTACCATATGCTCTGGACCTTCAGGCTCAGCTAATTGGATCAATAGTAGACACATAACCCAGCGAATACCAATCCAAAGGGTGTTGAGCCAAATTCTATTCTCTCTCTTAGAATTTGGAATTAAGACCTCAAGAATAACTTCATGTTACTCATTACCAAATAATGTTGGGCCTGGGCTAGGATGGCCATTTTATTCAAATTCATGCTGATGATGATTGAACAGTGAAAGCCACTCTAAAGACAAAAGCAGAGAAAGGGAGCAAGTGACAAAAGAAGTAGGCAAAAGAGACGGTGATTCCATTTGAGATAAAAATTAAAGTCTTATAGTTGTTTCAGTCCTCCTCTATTAATATTTTGTTCCCAAACTGAGGTTGTCAATAAAGGCTTACGATAAAACTATCTTATTTAGATCAGTTCAAATGGACGACTGTTTTGTTGTTGTTTCCCTTATCTTTACAATCAGAATTACTCTGACATAATGGGGTATGATTATAGGATTGACTTGGTGGGGCATGTACTATCTCTAGTGGTCCGTAATTGATTGAATTGTAGGAAAAATTTACCATCATTTTGTCAAATTAATAATATCAGGATATCCGAAATGTTAAAATTTTTTATTTAGAAAAAAACTGGATCATGAATTTTGCACATTGTTTTTTTCATGTGTATAAACTTGGAATAAGGATGTTTCTTGATTCTTTAAAGGTATATATTGTCAAGTTTTAGTAGTAGTAGAAGTTTTTGTTTGCCACAGAATAATATTGTAAAATATTTATTAAACAAATTCATGATAAAAGCATCATGACAAATTCCTGAGCATTTGTTATTTACTATAAATACTACCATTTTAAGAAAAGAATATGTATGCGTCAGTGGCTTAAAAATAAATTATGAACTTACCTATTTATTCACACTGATTGTGTCATGATAAAGATAATATTATCTGTTGCAATTTCTTTTTAGACAGTCTTGCTGTATTGCCTATGCTGGCCTCACACTGGAAATTCTCCTGCATAGTCTTCCTGAATAACTGGGATTATAGGCATGTGCCACTATGCCCAGCTGCCTTTTGCCATTTTTAGTAACCATTTTATACCATTTAGATTCTTCACATGTAGGCAGTTCTCTTGAAAGAATACTATACCAGTAGCCATTTTATGATAATGTTTATTTTTCTTCCATCTGTAATTAAAGTTTATGGACATGGATGCTATTGTGAAAGGAAAAGGTGACATAAAACTTATTTCTTCTCAGATAGAAAAAACGAAGTGGAAGCATCAGCAAATATTCCTCTGTCCTCTGGTTATAGTACAGAAACAGATTCAACTCCCAGAGCTTCAACTGTTATTTACAGTGGTTTGAAAGAGACTTCAGAGGTAAGAAAAACTGACAGCTGTACAGATGATCTCCTTTCTAAGGTCAAGAAGATAAACAAGCATTCACTTTAGTTGTATATGCTATTATCAGGAAAAAGCAAAACTATGTAAATCTTAATCTATCAAAATTCTTTGTGATAAGTAACAATAATCGATGCAATATTTCAGACTGTGTTTTATATATTCATGGTCCGTCTTTGAGGATGATTTACTTTGAGAAATCACCTAAATTTGTTGCTTTTTAAATTAAAGGAAACAACAATCCAGAAATTGGAAAGGATGAAAAAAATGTAAGTAACAGAAAGGGGCAACAGAAATTAATTTCTCTGTAGGGAATTGTATTGGATTACAATATATATAGAATGTGCATGTGTTTCAAACCTTAAAGGTCTCAATCAGGTGTGGAATTTCCTTCAAGACTCCAGTGGATAATAAATCCACCTACAATTATGTGTTTGTGAGATGAGTCACTGTTTTGGTTTCCAAGAAGTGGTATAAAACATTGTTAATGGAATTAACTGTGGATTAAAGAGTGCAAAGATATTTTGGGTTGATAGTTAATCGAGTTATCTTTTTTTGATAACTGACTTATCAAAGTATTAAAAATATATAAATAAATGGTTTAAAGCATCTTTTTAAGTAAGTTATTGATAAAGTAATACTATTGACAGTACTTTAGCTCAAATGACATTACACCTGGTATTTTTTAAAGACCAGTTCAAAGGAAATACAAAATGAAATTTTATAACAATATTATACAACCTGCTACATTAAAAACTTAATATTTTGAAATGTGAGAAGTGTTAAAATAACTCATGCTTCAAGAATTGACTATATTTTGTCTCCTATGGTATACTTAAGTTTATTAATAGCAACTGTGCCTAAAAGTAGGGAAAATATTAAAATTTATTTTAGACTCAAAAGCATACTCTTAACAATTTAAATCCTGTTCTTCATTATGAATCATTTATTTACATAACATATCATTTGTTTATTCTATTTCAGGTTTGAAGAAACAGCAGAGTTACTGAAATGCTCAAGTCACTAATTGTAGAATTTCCTGCATGAACCTCTCTAGAACTTTGACTACTGTACATGTTGTATATTTTAAGAATCTATATAATTTTAATATACTGCAATTTTTATTAAGAATTTGAATTCCATTTGATATGAGTTTTTCATTCATTATTGAATAAATATTATTTTTGAGCTTTGATTATACTGCTTTACTCTCCTTCACTTTTCTTAGGAAAAACTTATGTTTCAGTACATTACCTTTACAGAGTGAAGTCATTACAGCAAGCACTGTATTTTTGTGTTGACATTTGTTGGCAATGTGCTAAGTAGTATGTTTTTTAAAGTACAGACTTGAGGACCATAGTTTACATCCTGTTGGAAACATTCCAGCTAGGACTTGCATATTGTACCCAAGAGGCTCTCGTACATACCATCTTGCCATCTGTGCTAACGAATAAGCGGTAGTGAAAAGTTAAAAATGCTCATTGAAAATTAAAGCTAAAAAATACATCTATTTTATGCTTAGTCAAAAAGCAGCAATACCTTTCCAATTAACACTGAGAATCAGGGTATGATTCTCTTTTTGTATTGAAAAGGTTCTGAAAGATCACTTTGAGAGATGTGTTGAGTATTTAAGTTCCCCGGTGTATAACACATTTTAAGACCAGCAGCACAGATGTAGATGGTGGCTGTCAGAAGATACACAGTGAATTTTTTTTCTCTTCATGGAAGTTGTAAATATTTTCGAATAGTAAAAGCCTTAGATGAAGTTAAATCAAGAGAAAATGAAATTCATTTTAGAAATTATTACATAGTATACTTCTAAACTTTGTAAATAAAAATATACTAATAATCCTAGGCAATACTCAGGAAACTTGAAGGATAAAAAGTTTTTTTTTTCTTTTTTATCATATAGAACATCTGATTGCATCCTACTCATCTGTTTTCAATACATATATCTAATTTGGTTTTCACTGGTGAACAGATAACTTTTTTGAAAAAGTATTTTTAATATCCCAACAAATGTTGTCACTAGACTTTTAAAACTATTAGCTTTTTATGTTAGCCTATTAAAGAGTATAACCTTGAATGTAGCAAAGTTTTAATAGTACATCCAAAATTACTGAATCCTGTTAGCTTTATTTTATCAATTACAGGAGAGCATTTATAAAACTCCACAGTTTTGAAAGAACAATACATCAGCTTCTATCAGTTCTAGTGTGGAATTATAGCACCACCTTGTGGTTGATACACTAATATTTTACCTTTTCTTGAAACAAGTGATTTCCCATAAAACGGAATCTTATTTTTCCTTTCGAAAAAACTGAATTCCAATTTTAAAAATAAACATTTTTGAAGTTTTCTTGTAGAAGACAGAAGAAAAGGTAAGTTCCTTTTTCTCTTTCTGTAATCCTCCTTTTTTCTTTATATAGTATAAATGTAAACAAAATTTAGATGTTTTAAAATATTTTAATCTAATTTATTTCTAATATTAGAAAATATGTGTCTATTGAAAATGTAATAAGACATTTTTTATTTATGTTACCAAGTAGAAATTTGGAATCCAGCTTAGCCAGGAACAAACAAAACAACTCATATAACTATATATGTTTACACTTACAAGAGTATACTATTTTGAACACATAATATTTACAAAAATAAAGCAAGTTTGATTTAAGCTAAGTTACTGAAGAGGATTGTCAAATTATTTCTTATTCTAACTCTTTTAGAAATAGTAGAAACATTTTTCTATAGGTAATTTGGTCAGTGGTTTATAACAATAAACCAGCCCCTTTGGGGAGTTTGAGAAGCTGAGGTAGGGAAGTCCTGGAGAGATTATCTGGGGTTACATAATTGACCCTTAGTTAACTGTAAGTTTTATACTACCAACAAAGGTGTCAGTGGCTTGTGCTGCCCTGTTTACACTGTACAGTCCAAATAGTCTGGGTAGAGACAATATATAATACCACGAAGAATGCATATTGTGTAAAGTACTAGTAAGAAAGTGTTGAAAATAAGTAATGCCAACTATATGAAAATTCTAGGCAAAGTTAAGGTCTATTATGTTAGGAAAAAGTAGTTCTATCATGTTTGTTTTACTTCACTGTTTTAATGTGATGTTTTAACATGTAATATATTCCTTGAAAAATAAAACTTAAAGACTTTGGAACTGTGTTTTATGCCATTCATTACTCAGAGCTTTATATAATTGATTGGCACTTGGAGAAGCATTAAAAAAATAAAAGGACCTTGTCAATTTTATAAACTACAACACTTTTTTTAAGCTCAAATTACATTATAGCTTTAATTTTTACATTTTAACAATTCCCAGGTTTCTCTGTCTCTTTTCTTTCAATCCAAAGAATGCAGAGAGAATAAAGTGGTAGAGGTAGTATAAATTTTTAAACTACAAAATTAAACTTTAATTGTTATGACACTTGAACTTTAGTGTTTATAGTGAAAATGATAGGCTTCTTATGCCACTCAAAAAGAGAGAAAGCAACTGGAAACTGTCCATTACTGACAGCAGTATTTAGAACGTGCAAGTTCTTTTTTTGTTGGGGAATTTTTAAAATTATATTTTATCATGATTTATATTTGTAATACTTGTAGAAATGGGGCCTATATAAATGTATATGTCCTTTTTCCTCACTGAAGTTCACTAACTCATAAATAAAAATATTTAGGTAGATAGGTTTTTTATTCTTTAATTATTGATACATATTTGAATTGTTTCCAGTTTGTCCATAATGCTGTTGTAAACATTCTTGCACATGGTGAACATAGTTAGGCATTTCCATTGTGTATATGCCTAATCATTTTTTTTTCTTTTTCTTTTTTGTTTGTTTTTAGATATACATGACAGTAGGGTATATTTTGACATACTTACATGGAATGCAACCCATTCTAATTTTGATTACATTCTTGTGGTTATACATGATGTGGAGTCACACTGAGCATAGGAACAATAATTAAAATGTTTGAGGAAACGAATAAAGATGAATTATTTTAACAAACATTGCTTGGGCACATTTTTACCTTTTACATAAGAATTTTTTTCTGTCTCTGGTGATGAGATGTTTCTGTTCTCCTGGTATGGGGTAGGGATGGCATAGTGCCCATTTTGTATCTGCTATTTTTCAAGTGCCTTTAGCTTAAAATAATCCATTTGACAAAAGTGGCATATTTTGTAGTGGCATATTCTGCCACCCTTCACTATCAAAAACAGACTACGAAATCTCACTTAGCCAAAGATAATTGCTACTACCAGTCTCCCGCATCTGAGTCCCATTGTTATTACTATGCTATCCTTTATTCTTCATTCTATTTCATATGTGTATTTCCTTTCCCATTTTCATTGTATGACCTCAAGGTTTTCTCTCTGTTTGCACTATCTACTGATCACCCTGTTGATATCCTACCCCTTCAGTGTATCCATACTACTTCCAAAGTAAGTTTTTGAAAAGTTCCTTTGATTATGCCATGTTGCTACTAAAAATGCCTTTCGTTTCTCCTATTCGGGGAAAAAAAAAAAAAAAAGACAAATTTCTTAGGCTGAGCATCAGAGGCCTATTTCTCTGAAGTCTCATCTTCCTTTCCAGATTATCTGCAATTCTGTAGACAGTCTAGGTACAGTGCTCTCTTAAATTGTGCTTTTGTACATGATCTCCTTTGCTAAGAATGACTTTCCCGTCCATCTAGTGAACCTCAAAGCCACTTTACCTTTCTTGGATAGGTTTCTCTCAACTACAAAGTCCAAGTTATAAACTTTCATTTCCGCTGCCTTAGTGGCTTGTTTATACTTTTGATTTTTACATCGAGTTTATAGCTATTATTAATTATTTTTAGTCTCCCAGTGTACCTATTATTTGTTTATTTTTTTATTCACTACCAACTAAATGATAATAATTATTGACTGAACAATGACTACTGAATAAGTAAGGATTTCCAGATGAGTAAGATTTTATCACGTCAAAAGCTGGGACCTGTCATCTATGCTATATTTGTTCTATGGGAGGAATCTATATTTTCAGAAAAAAGATATAGTTGTATATTCTAGAAAAGAATCATCCTAAACTGAATACCTCTTTGATATATTAACAAATACTTTTAGAATGAATGAAAGTTTACTGAATTGTTCCCAAGGTGCCAGTGTGTCAGGCACTGGACATAGGGAGAGAACAAGGAAAAGATGGTTCTTATACTCACCAAGATAATGACTGAGTAAGAAGGATAATTTAAAAAGCAATAACAAAGTGTAGTCAGTGCTGTGATAAGGGAAGGCTGATACAGCTAAGTAATCAAGGTTGGTGGGAAGGCTTCTCAGAAAGTGATGTTAATTTTAAGTCCTAAAGGATGAATTGTGCTGTGGTTTGAATCGTAATTTTAAATTAAGTTTTAATTTTAATTTTATGATTTGAATTTTAATTATCAGTTAATTTTAAGTCCTAATGGATAGCCAGACATTATGGTTTAAATATGGTTTATTCCCTCCAAAATTCAAGTTGGAATTGAATTGCTATTGTGAGCTTTTAAAAGGATAAAAATTGAATCTGACTATGGTGTTTTCTGATGAGGTCTTTGGGAGGTGCTTAGTATTAGATCAGGTTGAGGGCGTGAAGATTGAATGCCAATGGCTTTATAAGAATAGAAGCCAGAAGCACACACATGCTCCTTGTCTTGCCATGTGATACCATTCTCTCACATGCACTCCCTCCATGCCATCTACCAGGATGTAATACAGCCAAGTGGGTCCTCACCAGATCTAGCACATATACTTTTTTGGACGTCTTAGGCTCCAGAACTGCGAGCTAACTAAATGTCTTTTCTTTCTAAGTTGCCCAATCTGTTATTGTGTTAGTATTAAAACATTAATACACCAGCAAAGATAGTTTACATAAACGGACTAGCATGAGCAAAGGCATGGGAAGAAGGGCATTTTAAAGAAAGTCACTAGGGCTAGCTAGCATACTGAGTTTGCATTGTGTCTATGGGAGCAAGGTGGTCAGAAGTCAGTTTACATAGGCCCCAGGAGCACATTAACTTTATTTACTGAAAAATTTTAAGCTGTAAAAATCACAATCAGACTGGAGTTTTTGAAGGATTGATTTTTAGTGGTTTAGTGTGGAGAATGGATAAGTGGACAAAACTAGAGGCCAAGAAACTTTAGGAAGGCTGTGATAGTAATCTAAGGAAGAG